TGCTGGAAACTAATTTTAAAGATCCCAATGAGGGCTTTTGTGATTACTTCTGCAACTGTGAAATTAGAAAAAGAAAGCCTGAGGGGGGAAAAACTGACAAAGAGTTTGAATTAGTGACTCCTTCTTTTTGAATTTTCTTTTTGGTTAAATTTTTTTATTTTAATATTTATTTTTTAGTTATAGTTGGACATAATACCTTTATTTTATTTATTTATATATGATGCTGAGGATCGAACCCAGTGCCTCACACGTGCTAGGCAAGCGCTCTACCACTGAGCCATAACCCTAACCCCTTAAATTTATTTTTTAATTGGCAAAAGCATTAAGACAAAGTAAGAGTGTACACAGTAAAAACATCTCTTTCCTAATCTAACACATAGTTCCTCTTCCTTAAGGTACCTATTGTATTTTGTTTGTCATTTCAGGGATATTTTGTGCAATTAAAAGCAAATATAAGGGCTGTGGTTATGGAGCACTCGCCTAGCACATGTGAGGCACTGGGTTTTATCCTCAGCACCACATAAAAAATAAACAAATAAAATAAAGGTATTTTTAGAAAACAAATATAAATATATAATATTCCCTTTCTTTTTATGCAAAGACATATAGAGAAAAAACATTAAAAATCTTCTGAGATTAGAATTACAATTTTGTGGGAAATGCTTGGTTTGACACTGAATATAATCAGATAAATATTCAAAGTTAAGCGCTGGGGATGTAGCTCAGTGGTGGAGCACTTACTGAGCACATGCAAGGCCCTGGGTTTAATTCCCAGCACAGAAGAGGAAGAGGAGGAGGAGGAGGAGGAGATTTTTTAAAAAAATATTCTAATTTGTTAATTTGTTATATATGACAGCAGAAGGGAGGAGATTTTTAAAAATTTATTTTGAGACAGAGTTGCTAAATTGCAAAGGCTGGACTTAAAATTGTAATCCTCTTGCCTTAGCCTCTTGAGTTGCTGGAATTATAGTCACGCACCACCCTGCCACCTTCTCTATTGAGTATTAACAAGAAACACAAATCTTTCACTACTTTGCTACTCCTGTTTGTCCAGCCACACAACTCTTCCTCAGACCTCCTTGTCCCTGTGTTCTACTCCTTCTTGTTTTCAGCTGTTGACCAAACAGCCCAACCATTTGCCACTGTCTGTGAGACTGCATAGTCTTACCTTAGCCCACCTTTCTTGGGCACAAATTAGATGACCAGGCAACAGCAACCAAAGCCCTGTTCATTGGGAAGATTTCTCTTCACACTGGTGGTCAGAGTCTTCTCTGGTCAATAATACGATGTTATCAATACAGTGGACCAAGGTGTTATTCTATAGAATGTCTAGAAAATTAAGTTCCCTCTGGGTTATATTTTGACATACTGTACAATAGTTAACAATACTACTGTGGCAAGACAGTAAATGTATAGTCTGGCCCAAGTGAATCTTTCTCATCTGTCTTACTGATAGAGATGGAAAATAGGGCATGTTACAGCTCATTGGCCACACCACTTCATGTACCAGAGGCAGTATTAATTAGATCTAACAAAGATACAATACCTGTCACTGCAGGTGCAATTTGGGCTACAAATTGGGATAGTTTTTTGTTGCCATATTCCAAGATATAATTTTTGTAGGAGAATTGGAAAGTTAAAGGAATTGGACCATTAATCCCTGTATCCTCCAGGTCTTTAAGAATACAATGAAATCACTTTCATTCCTCTCTGGGATATGATATAAATCATAATTAATTATAATTATGATTAAATTCACATCATTGTTGGGGAAGAAGAAGCTAATGCTTTCCCTTTACCATTTTTATAAAGTATAAAGTTTACCCTACAAACCAAGTAACTAAGGTAGGCATTTTGCCAACTATTAAGTATATGTGATCCAACATTATATTCATACATAAATACATGTACATATTTACAAGACACAAAAACAAATTAATTATATACAAAATACACAAAGAATGGAATGGGGTTGTGGCTCAGCGGTAGAGCACTCGTCTTGCACATGCGAGACCCTGGGTTCGATTCTCAGCACCACATAGAAAAAAAATAAGTGAAATAAAGGTGTTGTGTCCAACTGCAACTAAAAAAAAATACATAAAGAATGAATTATATTTTTTATACACTAGGATGGACAATAAGCAATACGAAGTACTGGGGGTGAGTCAGCAATAGAGCATTTGCCTACCTTGTTTGATTGTGAGGCACTGGGTTCGATTCTCAGCACAGCATATGAATAAATAAAATAAAGGTCCATTGAAAACTAAAATATCATTTTTTTTAAAAAAAGAAAAGAAATATCAAGTACTGGCAAGTACATGGAAGAATTGCTGGTGGAAACATAAATGAAACAACTACTTTGGAGAGCAATTTGGTAGTTTCTTAAAGAGTTAAACATACAATTTCTTTATGATTTAGTCATTTTATTTCCAGATATTTACCTAAGAAAAATGAAAGAAAATGTACATATAATACTTGAACATAATAGCTTTCCTTTTTTTTTTTTTTCCTGTGCTGGGGATTAAACCCTGGGCCTCGCATGGGCTCGGCAAAGTGTCTGCCATACCACTGAGCCATATCCCCAGCCTTAATAACCTTATTTTTATAGTCAAAGACTGGATACAACCTAATTGACCACCAATAGATGAAAAAAATGAATGAATTTAGTAAGTTCAAACAATGGAATACTATTTTAAAATAAGGAGTGGATTATTGATGCACACGACAATATAGATGAATTTCAAAAGAATTATGCTGATTAAAAATAGCCACATGAAAAAAAGAGTACATAGTTTTTGTATTAACTTATATGAAATTCTAGAAAACGCAAACTTTTCTATAAGTGAAAAATTGTCCAATGATTGAGAATGGGAGAGAGTATAAGGATGGTTATCAGAGAGGAAGAAAACTTTTTCAGGGGGTGGATATATTTATTGTTTTGACTGTAGTAAAAGTTTGGTGGTTATATACATAATCAAAACTTATCACATTGTACACTTAATATAGGTACAGTTTTTTGAATGTTACTTATGCAGCAACAAAATAATTAAAACCTGCATGTCTTTTGACTAAGGAACATCAGTGGGTAATATATGTGTAAAATACATTTATTATAGATAGCATGGTTGACATTGTGAAAGCTGATAACAATGCAATGTCCATTATAAGAGATTAGTTGAATAAAATTTTGATGTCATCATAAAATGGAGCACTAAAGTCATTAAAAATAATCTCTACAGAGAAAGACGTGTAAGATACTTTAAATATAAATAGTAACTTGTTTGCTGGTGAGGATATAAAATGGTGTGTCGACTGTGAATAATGGTTTGGCAATCCCTCAAAAAATTTAAACTCTTAGGTATTTACCTAAGAGAACTGAAAATATATGTCCTTGCAAAAACTTGAACATGAATATTCATAGCAGCATTATTCATAGTAACCAAAAAGTGGAAACAACTCAAATGATAAATGGATAAACAAAAAAATGTATTCATAAAATGGATTATCATTCAGGCATAAAAAGGGATGAAGTACTGGTGCATTCTGGTTAGTGTAGATTAACCAAGAAACATTATGCTACATGAAGGAAGCTAGATATAGAAGGCCATATTTTGTATGACTCCATTGATATGAAATGTTCAGAATAGGAAAATCCTAAAGATGGAAAATAAGTTAGCGGCTTACATAGTTGGGGGAAAGGAGGAATTGGGACTAACTACCAATAGGTACAGGGTTTCTTTTGGGTGGGATAAAAATATTCTGCATAATGTGGTGATGTTTGTACAACTTAATGAACTTGAGTATACACTTTCAAATAGTGAATTATATATTATGTGCAGTATGTTTCAATTTTTTAAAAAATTATTTTAAAAAACCCTGTGGGTAGTAAAAGGTGTGAAGATTTAAAAAGTAATTAGGATATAGAATAAATGGGTGTGATAGAATACTATTTTGTTTAAAAATCATATGCATATATTAATATGTATGCACAGTGAACAGTCTTCCAAATTTATTTACATGCATGTTCATGTAAATAAATGCATATGCATGTAAATAAATTTGGAAGACTGTTCACTGAACTGAGGAGTGAGTAGGAGAAACTGAGGCATGAGATAAGGAGAAACTTTATTTTATAAATAATACATTTTAGTGCTACTTGAATTTATTTATTTTTTAAAAATTTTAATTAATTTTTATATATAGTGAAATGCATTACAATTCTTATTACATCTACAGAGCACATTTTTTCATATCTCTGGTTGTATACAAAGTATATTCACACCAATTCCTGTCTTCATACATGTATTTGAATTTTTTAAACAAGCATATTTTGTAATGAAGTAAAATTAAAGACTTTTAAATGATTTAAGAAATGTATTAAAAGAGTTCACTATTAAATATGTTGCATAGAAAATCTTTTTTAAATCCTTTAAAGTGAAAATCACTATTTTTTATAAAAATTTCTCTGATATAAGGGGGGTGACTCAAAATGGGATAGGGAGGAAGAGCATGAGAAGAAGGTTACCACTAAATAGGGAAGAGAGGTGGGAGGGAAAAGGAGGGAGAAGGGGAGTTGCACGGAAGATGAAAGGAGAACCTCATTGTTATACGGAATACATATATGATGTTGTAATGAGAAAAAGAAAAAAAAAGTGTGTCACATTAGAGTGGATAGAGAGAAAGGATGGGAGAGGAGGGGAGGAGTAGGGAGGATAGGAAGGGCAGCAGAATAGAACAGACAATATGACTGATGTATGTACATTCCATGTATGTATTATATGTCAAAATGCATTCTACTATCATGTATGACTAAAATAAATAAATAAATAAATAGACAACTAATAGCCAGAAAAAAAATTGGGGTTTTTGTACATTAAAAAAAATATTTTTCCCTTAATATATAGGATGTATATAATAGGTAGGAGATATTTGTATACTGATTTTTTAAAATAATAGGCTCAAATATTGTTAATTGAAAACAATCTATTTTTCATTTTACAGAAAAATCTGAAGTCTGAATCATAAGTTAACAGTATAGGGCTCATAATATGTCCATCTCAACAATGGGTTCTGGGAATTAAGGATCCATACAAATTAAGGTAAGAAGTTTATTTTTGTTTTTGGTATTAGGGATTAAACTGAGTTCTATCCTCAGTCCTTTTTATTTTTTTTATTTTGCAACATGGTCTTGCCAAGTTGCTTAGGGTCACCTGATCCTCCTCTCTCAGATTCCTGAGTTGCTGGGATTACAGGTGTGTGCCACTGCACAGTTAGGACCCAGGTAGGAGTTTGGAATTTTTTTTAAACATATTTTTAGTTGTAGATGGACACAATACCTTTATTTTATTTGTATGTGGTGCCGGGGATCAAACCCAGTGCCTCGTGCATGCTAGGCAAGCGGTCTACCACTGAGCCACAACCTCAGCCCCAGGAGTTTGGAATTTTGAGGGAAGAAGGGACATGGTAGGAATAGCTCAACTTTTCTAAAAGAAAAGGTGGTAGAGCATGCAGAGTCCCTAACAGCTGTACAAATGGGCTTCTAACACAAACACTGTACTCTAAGCTCTTGGGAAAGGTTCAGGAAAAGGACATTGATAAATAAGAGGGCAATTTAACTTTTTAAGTTTATTTTAGTTGATATATAAAAATATAAAAATTATGCCTATTAAAGGGGTACCACGTCATGTTTCAGTACATGTGTATATTGTATAATATTTAGGTTAAACATGTCTATCTTCTCAAACACATATTTCTTTTGGGAAAACTTTCAACAACTGCTTCTGCTGGATTTCTGAAATGTCTAGTACATTCTTGTTGACTATGACCACCCTACTGTGAAGAAGCCTACCAGAATTCTTGTTCCTATCTAACTGTAACTTAATTCCCCTTGACCAGCTTTCCTCCATCCCCTGGCCTGTACATTCTCCCTGGCCTCGGGTAACTGGTACTACTCTCAACTTCTATAAGATCTACTTTTTTAGGTTCTGCATAGGAGTGACATCATGTAGCACTTTTCTGTGCCTGGCTTATTTCACTTAGTGATTTCCACTTCTATTCATGTTCTTTAAATGACAGGACTCTGTCCTTTTCTCATGGCTGAGTAGTGTTCCATTGTGTTGAGGATGAGGAGGGAAGCTTACTATTTGAATGACACCAGCCCTAGGACCTGATATTCAGAAGAGACCATGTTCAATCTTGAACCATGACCCTGTTCCAAAAGAGATGCCAGGGAAGGGGGAAGGAAAAAAAAAAGAGAGAGAGAGAGAGAGATGCAAGTACCTGTGGGATAGACCTTGAAGATATGCTGGTCATCCCTGAGCCTCTGTTCTATGCCCTGTAGCATTTTGGTGGCAGGAAAGGGTGGGCAGGTCAGAGGCTTATCGGCTGTGAAAGTAAAGAGTTTAGTTCACATTAAGCACTGATAAAACCACATGACTGAGAAAGATCACAATCAGACAGAACTGTTGAAATAAGTCTGTTTTAGACAGCTTTTGGGTCACTCTGATCAGAAGACCTGGCAAGAACAATTAAAGGAGGAAAAGTTGATTTCAGCTCATGGTTTCAGAAGTCTCAGTCCACCATCAGATGACTCCCTGCCTCTGGTCTTGAGATGAAGTAGAACCTCATGGTGAAAGAGTGTAACAGAGGAAAACAGCTCAGAAATGGCAACCAGGAAGCAGGGAGAGCTCCATACACCAGGGACAAAATAGAAACCCCAAATGCATGCCCCCAATGACCTACTACCTCCAGCCACACTCTTCCTGCCTCATGTTATCACCTAGTTAATCCATATCAGTAGATTAATCCACTGATTAGGTTACAGCTATCGTAGTCCAACCATTTCATCTCTGAAAATTCTTGCATTAACTCACATGAGTTCTGGGGGGACTTCTCACATGTAAACCATAGCAAAGTGTCTAGTAGGGACTAAGAGGGAAGGTCCACAGCACCTTCAACTTGAGGTATAGTTAATATGGAAAGTCTGAAATAAGGTTGGTATTAAAGTGGTGGAAAATAGAGCACTCCCAGACCTTCATTTTAATGGGATGATTTTTAAAAGAGAACTCAAAGACTGGGTGCCAGTCACAACAAATGCCATGCTTTGATTATCTAGTAGCATTACAAAATTGCTGAAGCATGTCCACCTAACAAATAGGTCTTTCGAGAAGGTATTTGTGTGGATGGGAGAGGGTCACAAGGCTTGGTACAGCTGACAATTCAATATGATTCCCATGGGAACAGGGACAGAGTCCTGTCTTCTGGTTTTTTGAGCCCTGGTAAAGCAGAAGCAAAATCTCCAGGTTGTAGATTCCCTGCAACCTGCTTTAACCCAGGGAAAGAGGAGCAGTTGCTCATAATAGAGAAGGTAAGAGACCAAACCTAATCCACAGCACATGTATCAGACCTACTCATCCTACAGTTGATGAGCAACTTATACCAGGAAGGGGAATGGAACTGGTTTCAACTTTTATTGTTTTGGTATTGGGAATTGAATCCAGGGGTACTTAACCACTGGGTCACATTCCCAGATAAATTGCTGAGGCTGGTTTTGAATTTGCAATCCTCAGATATAACTTTATTTTAAGTCTTTAAAGGCCCCCTGAAACAAGAAAAAAAGTGTATTGTTTATTTAAGCATTCTTGTGTTCTGGTAGTCCTTTTCTCCCCAGTCTTCATTTTTACCTTGGTTTAGAGTCCACACACATCATCAGACCATCTGTGCTTGTGGACTTGGGCTTCTCTAAGGGAGACCTAGGACTCGACTCTAGATGAACTGTCAGGTACAACTAGAGCCTGTGACACCCCATCAGGATCATGTATGTGTTCATCTTTATCAGACCATGGTACTAGAGTAGTTTCCACTCTGAGTATCTACATCAGGCAAAGGATTCTTGGTCTTGCCCTGATATAAAAAGAAATTGGACACAATTTTGTACAGTTGAACAATCAGCTTGAATATAGGAATGTTAGGCAGATGTTTCACAGCAAACTTTTGTTGACAGGTAAATCATGGATTTGTCTTTGCTAGCACTGCATGGCTGTAGCTTGGCACAATCAGTCCTGAGTGGGGTATATTCCAAGTGTTGCCTTGGGACTTTTTGTCTCCTGTATTTTTGCTCACTGCCTTCTGTAGTTGTTAGCCAGGGAAGCACTTCCTGATTTGACTGTCCATGTAGAGGTCCTACCTGCCTATTCATGGCTGCTGCAAAAACAAAAAACGAAAAACAAAAAACAACAACAACAAAAAAACAGTTAAAGGTCTAAAAAGGCACTGCTCACAAAATGGCTGTTATGGGTGCTTGCATTGCTGGTCACTATGGGTGGTGAGGTGAACTGAGCATAAGTGTAGCCTAACATCTTGGTGAATTTGTGGGATCAGGCCAGCTGAGAGCCAATAGCCCAATACTGCAATGCTCCTGGTAGAGATTTCAGTAGATCTTTGTTGTAGCACACAAGGTAGCTTCGTGACCAGATCCATTAAATCTTAAAAACTCAGCTCCAAGTACTTGGCTTGGTTGATCCCTTCTACATATGTTTAGGCAAGATTACCCTTACAGATGAGGACTGTAATGGCTGTACAGAGCTGAGACACAAGGTATAAGTTGTTAGGAAAGTTGCTAGCATGGTGACCCCATGAGAAGGCAGAGCTGCCCTCTTTGCCACTCTTAACAACAATACAAAAACAACTTTTCTTTTTGAGATGAGGTCTTGTTATGTTTCCCAGGCCATCCTTTAACTTTCTATCCTCCCGTCACAGTTTCCTGAGTAGATGAGATTACCACACTCAGCTTTGCCCACTCTTGAGAGCAAAGATACATGTTCCTCTGTTCGGATCTTTCCAGTTATCATCAGCCAAAATAAGCACTCTGGCAGGGGTTCTTTCCACCCTTATCCCTGGGCAAAGTTTCTGGCATTGGAAATGTGTCCTCATAAGGATCAAGAACTGATGTTTCATAGGTCAATCCTTTTATGCTTACCCTGCCACCTTACACCATGTGCACAGTGAGTTGGCCCAGCCCTGTTGCTGCCTGAAGGTCTTAATTCTGGCCTGATCCTTAGGTTTCAGGTCAGCCAATATGTCTTTCACATTTGTTTAGGAAGCACTGGCATACCAGGCAGTCAGAACAAAGGCAGAATGCATTCTTGGTTTCCAAGAGCTGGGAGTCTATAGTGAGTGAGCCATGGTGGATGACCTCTGGCATCTGGTGAAGAGGGAAGGAGGAGGAAAAACTGTGGTAGAAATGACAACCACACTAACAGGTGGATAGGGTTCTTGAAATATTTTTAAAGTTTGAAAGTATTTTTTTTCAATACAAACCAGACTATTGAGGTTAAGAGAGTCACTAATATTTTAATGTAACTTTTAAAAAAGCTTATTTCTCATGATCTGTTCAGACTCTACTTAAGGGGATTCTTTTTTTTTGAATTATGAGTTATAATCACAATTTGATCTTTATAGATTTAAAATTATCCCCCTCTCAAACTGAGCAAAATAAACACCAACATTTCATCAATAGCTGAGCTTTGCTGTTTTTGATTACAGATGCCTCCATATGATGGCATGGCAGCCATGAGATCTACTTCTCTCTCTCAGATCTACTCCTTTAGGAATGATAACTAACTGTGTTCAAACCACCGCCCTGCTTCCCCTGGACTGTTCCCATTGACTTCTCATGGCAGAATACTAAGGCAGGCCAATTTGTGGACATCACAAGGCTTCTCTGGAGGACAGCTTTGCCTGAGGACTCAGGCCTTGTTGAAATTTCCTTAGAATAAAGCTGATGACTAAGGTCTCCCTTCTCTCCTTTCATAGGAGTCAAATCAGCATTGTCTCACATAAGGTTTTGTTAGTGGTTTCATCTCTGGCTTGGGGTGACTGTGCTTTGATGAGCTGAAGTGAATATTCCTCTTTCTTGGCAGGTCTACATCATGAAGCCCATCATAACAGGAGGCTATTCATGAGTATTACTCATTTCCTTTCTGATTTTATACTTTCCAAGCAACATTCTGATGTTAATCAAGCTTTAGAAGTTGGTTTTCCTACTGAAAACAGAATATGCTGACTAGTTTTCTGGTGTTTTTAGTTTTTCTAGTATTAGTTTTTTCTTCTACAAAGTCATCTTTAAAATTATAAAATAATACATGTTTACCATAAATAAAAATTAACAAGTATAAAAGCAAAATTCTAAGTCCACTTCTTACACATAGCTTCTTTCCAATCTGCTTCCTAGGAGTAAAGCTTTGTTTTTTGTTCTAAATTAATTGGTTTCTTCATTGGATATCCAGTACTCAAGATTTTTGTTTTATGATCTTGTTTTTAAAAAAGAATCTCTTGTGAATTGTCCAGAATGAATTAGTAAAACTGAGTTTCTAAATACACAAAACTGAGAGTCAACCTTTTCATTTATTCGTGAGCTAGTCTTTTGTTGCCTTTTATGATAGCCAACAGTATACTTTACAAGAAGTATAAACATTATTTATCATTCATAGAATATAAGAGACCAGTTTAGGAGAATATGTGTAGTGCTGAGCTCACTGCATTTTATGATTTATTTAGCTCTATGAACTACTACTCACTTTTTTGTGTGTGAATTGTATCACTGTCTACTTATTTTCAAGGAGTCTTTTCACATCCACCCACACTCAAGGATAGAGTGAGAAAAATAACTTTAGTCCAAGTGTGAATCACTATGCACCCACTTCAACAGCTTTTTAAAAAAGAACACAGGAAGACAAAATTGAAATTATATAGATGGGCTATTTTTTGTTTCTTAAGATTATTGTTATATTGGTTATTTCAAACTCAAAGCAGCTCCTAATGAGAAAAATTAGTTCCCTGAGATGAGTAAGGTTAGTCTTTCAGTTTTCATATAATTTATTTTGAAATATTTTACTCGGTAGAGAACACATGGATTTTTTTTTAAAAAAATGCTTTCCTTACTAGGATTCAGGGAAATCATCTTGAGCTTAAGATCTCTAAGGGAAATTATTGTTTTTAAGATCAGAAAAGACAACTTATCAAAATAACATTGACAAAATTATAAAGACAGATAATTGTATAACTTAAAAAACTTAAATCATGGTTTTATAAAGAAAGAGGGATTGAATCATTTGTATAAATGAACCAAAGTTACAGAGTGTACTCATTTAAAGCTGATGAGTTTTAAAAATAATTTCAAAAATCTGATAAAATTAATTTTTTTAGTTGTAGATGGACATAATACCTTTTATCTATTTATTTTTATATGTTACTGAGGATCAAACCCAGTGCCTCCCACATGCCAGGCACATGCTCTACAACTGAGCCATAATCCAGCCCTGATAAAATTTTTTGAGAATAACTTTTTAGATGGCACAGTCATTATAGTGAACATTAATACAGAAATCTGGTTGATTATAGAGTTAAATTTAGACATCTTTTCCTGTAGATTAAAAAGATTTTCTCCCAAAAGCAACTCATTTACTCTCTCACACTTTTATCAAATTAGAATTTTTATTTCTATTTTATAGCACAGAAATAAAAATTCTCTAAAATATTAATAAACTTACCCACTTTATCTTTTTCATTAAAGAAAATGTGGAATTATTTTGTATTACATTTATTATTCACCAGTTTTCATAAAATGTAATGCTGTAAATGTAGTTACCAAAATACACTGTAGAAATATCTCTGGGAGAAGCTATGGTTTAGTAAATATTGCATTTGTTCAAGATGGTGTCAGAGAAGCAAGCCTATTATTCATAGGCTTTATTCGCTAATCTTCATTTTCTGATGTTAGAAGTCAGACATGATTTAATAACATTTTGAGGCAAAATTTATGTGCCTTAAAATCTTGTTACAACAAAGAGCCATAGTAGTGTGGCAATGTCCTTTCAGTTATCAGACCTAGTGGGTTAGACTGAAAAGTTTGATGATCTTCTTTTTAAGGTCAATGATTGTTGCTTGAGGAGCTTTAGTACATTTGTTTCCGTTTTTTTCTTTTAAAATTTTAATGTTGCCTTCGGGTTAGTCAAGATATCAAGGTCGGAATGCAAATTTGCATACTGCCTTAATACTGAATTTATCTCTGGCTTGGGAGAAACTGCTCTTTGGCCTCATGAAGTTGTTCATAGTTTCATGTGCCCTACTGCTGTGATTCTTAATATAGATGCTGAAGTTTAGAATCTCAAAAAACCATTGCCATGACTATCTATTACACTGACTCATGATGCCAGTTTGTTCTGGAACATTCCAAATTTATTTTTTGTCCTTATTTTCATACATGAGGGATGAAACTTACTTTATTTTAAAATTGTATCTTATTTTTTTTGCTGTGCTGGGAATCAAACCAGGGCATCCTGCATTCTAGGGAGATAACTCTAGTACTGAGCTACTCCCCAGCCTCCAAACTTTTACTTTAAATATGAACCTGTGTGAATGACCTTTTCAGTGTCATCTGAGTTGAAATAAAGGTTTTGAAAGCATACTTGCTTTCATGCAAATGTTATCTTCCAGTTCAACCAGATGACAAATTTTTAATAAAGCAATAAATAGATAAACACTCTTTTGTCACATTCTCAACTTACTTAATTCCATGTCTTGTAGGACTAGTTTTTATAAGTCCTACCTAAACATGATTTTAGAAGCCAGAGAAACTGGATTTAAATTCCTAAAGATACAACAGATTTGAGGGCACAAATGAAATAACAGAATAAACCCATGGTAAGATCAACATTTAGGGCCCAGTAGAACTCAAATTATTTCTGAAAAATAAGAATCCAGAATAATTACACATATAAACCAGTTTATTAGATTGTCATTGATACTTTGAGACAAATTTCAAGTTATTTTATTTTACTTCATATAAACAGAGGAAGGGAGGAAAGTTTTAAACTTCAAGCTTTGTTCAGCATGTGTGCAGTTAGCATCCACAAAAGCACCATTGGATATGGAAGAATTAGCACCACAGAATTTTAGGACCTAACTGTTAACATGCATCACTGAAAAACTTGGAACATGGAAACCAAAGTATTACATGGTATGGTCTATTATAAACAATACAAGGCAATTTATGATTTCTTTTTTATACAGTACAATACGATCACAATCAATGAGAACCTTTTAAGTACAATACAAGACAAAAAACACTTTGTACCCTGTTAACACTACAGCAGTTACAGATTTTAAAAAAATGTTTCTTGTAAGAGGCATTGGGTCGAATGATCCCTCCCCCCTCAATTTTTAAATTCAGAGTTGTATAGTTACATGATCTCTTGAGAAAGTATTTTCAAATCTACGTGTCTTGTACCTCAATGCTGACAAATGGTGGTTTGAAAATGGAAAGGCTGGATGAATTAAACAAGAAACCAAAAATCTGGAAAGAGTCAAGAAGTACTCCACTGTGGTGGAAGGTTTTCCACATAAGATCAGTTTGAAAATGATGCCAATGGTGTTGATACTTGTCTTCCTTTCCGTGGAGGAATGCCAAGTATAGAAGCCTTGGATTCATGATGAACTTCGGTTCATTTCTTTCACCAAATGTCTTTATTCTGGACTGTAACATTACAGATTTTATTCCTTATTCCTCAACTGTTTTTGTAGTATCATTGGGCTGTTCCTTATGCTTGGTTTGACAACAGTGAAAAGGGTTGATATTCTCTCTGGATTTAGGGTAATTTGTGAGCTAAAGAAAAAATATTAATTTAAATTTAGCAAATAGGAAATTTTAAAGGGAGTTCCACTATTTTTACAGTATAAACCCATTATATTATTGAAAACCTTTCTGTTAGAAAGCATGTAACAAACCCTTAATTTTAGTTGTGCCTAGGTCAATTTTGGCATATGAGAAGATACTGTATAAGAAATGTGCAGTAAGAATAGATACAGGTATATTCAGATCTCAATGCATTGATGCCAAGGAAAATATATTTTTACTCACCAAGAGAAGAATATACCTTGAAGCATCTATGCAGACACATGAATCAATCATGTATCTGCCCAACTTCTAATTCTGGAATAGTGATAACAGGGTCATTTAGGAAAAAGTACTCAATTACAGTACAGCAGCAATTTTATGTTGTCTATATTTAACAGTGAAACATTTTTGAAAATAGAATCAGTACTATACGGTAAGTTTACAATTCACCATATCTATACTTGTAATACATGCGGTTATTTGTTTTCCAAATTTTTAAAAATCCCACTAGGACCAACATCTTTCAGAACAACAATCTAACATTAAACAAAACTTTCTAAGGAAAATATTTAGCATCACAGATATTTGAGAAAAGTCTGTTATTCAGCATCACAAAATACTCAATCGATCTACATTTAAGATTGTTCATGCCTTGACATTAACACACCTTTGGGTTAATATATCTTATTTTAAAAAGAAAACAAACAAACCAAACAACTGACATGGAATTTGTCTTTAGTCTCTCCTTGATAAGGACAGACCTGATAAACTTGACTTCTTTCTATACCATGTAATGATGACTCCATCTAAGGAACTGCATTTACATTTAGTAAAAAACATTTCAAACTAGAGATAGAAAAATGGCTACACAAAGAAAGACTTAAAGATAAGTAACCTTATAGAAAAATGTTTTATTTTTTTTAAATATTCTGTTCTCAAACAAAAAAGAAAGCAAAGTTTGTTCACTTTGAAATATTCTGTTGAAAAACATTCTGAATGAAAAGTTAGCCTATCTTAATAAATGTCAGGAAGATGTTAAGTTTAACTTGAGAGGGTAGAACCCTTTTGAAAAAATATCTTGCTTTTCTTGCTGAACTACATCCATTCTATAAATCTACCCATTTCCCGAAGAAGAAACACTGCACATAGCAGTATATTTATGTGAATGATTTAAATTTGATAATTTACCAGGTATGACTGACTTGAGCAAAGAAGAAACAAAAGTGATTTACATTAAAAAATTCAGCTAAAATAAAACTGAGCTGTGATAGGCTAGCTGAATAATTTTGATTGCCCTTATATTTGATCAACATTTCAATCAAGGTAGTAAAAATTAAAAAAAGAAATTTAAAAATAAAAACTGTCCAAAAATTGTTCAATGATAAAGTCTTCAAATTTTACAATATTTTAACTTCAAATGATTGTAGACTAACTTAGACAGTTTTGCCATTATCATATATACTTTTGTTACTCTTGAGTTTTATTTCTGTATTGCTCATTGGCTATATTATGTAACATATTGTTCTGTTAAATTAAAATAGTTTGATTTATTACATTATACTCTAAGTGGCTTTAGAAAAACATATAAATAGGATAAATTTATAAAAGGATAAAGAATATTTTAAGAGATTTTAGACATATTCTATACAGACAAATAGCTAGAGTTCAAGGTAATAAAGTGCCTTCTTTTCCAGGTAATTAATTTTTCACTAAAATATTTTAAGGCTTGTAGCTCTTATATTATTTAATCTTTCAATCCATATAGTAATCTTTAATAACTAGCAGCTTAAAATTATAAATTTAAATTATCAATTCTGAATCCATTTTGCAGGGAAAGGAAAATATGTATAATTTCTAAATGCTGGGACTTTTACATAAGACTCTCATGTTGTTTGTGAACAATCAGGTTTACGTCATAATCTACAGCAGCCAATGTCCCTCAAAAAATTCAATAGAATATTTAATCATATGGCAAATGGGGCCATTATTTTGTTCATTTATTCATATATTCTGTTTTATTTACATTTAAAATGATTGTGCAACCTAAAATGAAAAAGGCCAGAGAAAACTAACAGGGAATTCTTCAGATACAGGCATAATGAATACCTTTTATTGCAACAGACTGTGCATAACCTGTATTGATGCCAACAGTTAATATCGAGCATTTATATTCTTTTTGCTTCTACTATCCATGGGTATATCATAGTAAAATACTGGTATCCTAATAAGAGTGTATCTATATGATATCAATAAGCATATGGAATTCTATTTATTATATGTTTAATTATTTCTCTTTGGGGATATATATGTTTTAAGCACATCTGTATACTCAGTTATTTAGACAGGTCCAGATTTTAGGAAAAATTATGACAACATACATATCAACTGCTTAGTAGCTCTTAACCATTAAAACTCAATTAAAATATTTGAATATTCATTTTTGGGAATTTAGCTATTTTGAAAAGATTACTGAAATGAGGTACAAGATTAAATGGCCAGGATACCTAAAATGCTTTTCTGACTGCCACTGGGTTAATTAAAAATGTTCCTTAAGTTAAAGGTTTTGCAGTCAGGATAGAGAAGGTAAGTGAAAACTCATTGAAAAGAATGGTTTAAGTTAATGTTCCATATTATTAGAAAAACAGGAATTACCAGTAGGGGAAATGCTAGTCTTAGAATTGGGTTTGGCTTTGAATCTAAAGCCTAGTGAGAGTAATTCCAGGGTTTAAAAAATTAAAGTGGCATAAACCTTTATAATTGCACATTCCTTTACCAAAGTGCCATGTTACCATATATTTATCTAAAATGCACATGATTCTACTTTTCAAAATCTAAATACATATACAGTTTTACCCTTTCCATACTAGTATAGTACAATTTCACAAACTTAGCAGAAATATAACTAAGAAGATGAATTATAAGTTTCTAAAAATGATATAGTTTGTGTGTTAAAGAAAAGTAACTGTTAAGAGCCTTTGTCATTATGAAGACTCAAGTCCAAGTATAGACAAAGCATTCCATGAAACTTGAAAACATCATGAGAGCTTGTTTAGGCAAATTTTAATAATACTGTGCCAGGCAACACACAGAAGTCATATGTTTAACAGAAAACAAATTGGTTTAGTTATCCTGTTTTTTATCTATTTGACTACATATTATACTTACTCTCTTCAATCACTTTCTATTATCTAGAAACCTAAGTTTTGAAAACAGTAGTAAATACTGAGGTTTCTAGCCTTAACTGGTCATTCCTCTGAAGTACAGCAAAAATGTCTGATGGGTGGGTTATTGATTTTCATGCTTCTCTTTATTCTAAATAGAAGCAGTAAGTAGAAGTGTACAGAGATAAAATAACAAGGACAAAAGCACAAATATATAAATATAAAAAGACCAAAGCACAAATATACAGAACAAATAAAATAGTAAGTCACTGTGTGAAAGTTCTGTGTATGACTGAATTTGGTCAATCAGGAAAAGAGAATTAAAAATGGAGATTTCCTTATCATGTAATAATTGTATGAATATATATTTTTATAAATAAACGGCATGCACATAAATTTAAATTTTGAATATTTTTGTTATTTCTGAATGTAATGAAATTAAACCAGGGTGTTGTCTCATTATAAACCAAGGTCAAAATTTTATATTGTTCAGGAGAAAGAGAGAATGTAGGGTCATGATTCTCAATGGCAGGTTATTTGGGTTCTGTTATAATACAAACTAAACACTGTGGTATATTGCTCCTTTCAATTAGAGTGAAAATGCGGGTGTTGGATATGGTGGTGCATGCCTGTCAATTTCTAGCTACTGGGGAGACTGAGACAGAAAGATCTGGTCAAGAGGATCACATACTTGAAACCCATCATGGGCAATTTAGTGGGACCCTATCTCAAGATAAATAAAAATAAAAAGGTCTGGAGATCTAGCTTAGAGGAACAAGGCTCCTGGTCTCAATCCTCAGAGCAACCCTCCCACCCCATCCCATCCCCTCCCCACTAAAAAAAAAAAAAAAAAAAAAAAAGGAAAGAAAAGGCTAGTAAAAATATAAAAATACTAATTTTTTAAAATTGGGAGTAAATCATAGTCACAGAACATTAATGTCTACCAAAAAAGATTCCTGTCCTTTTCCTCCATTTTGAGAATGTATAAGAATGACTGTATAAAAGCTACATCCCTGGCCTGGGGATATAGCTCAGTGGTAGAGTGCTGGCCTGACATTTGCAAGGCCCTGAGTTGGATCTCCAGCACTACAATTTAAAAAAAATTTTTTTTTTCAAAAGAAGAATTTGAGCCAGGTTGCATGTGCCACACCTGTAATCCAGCTGCTTGGGAGCCTGAGATAGGAAGATTGCAAGTTTGAGGCCAGCCTGGACAATTTAGAGATATCATGTCTCAAAATAAGAAATAAAAAGGGCTGGGGGTGTACTATCAGTAGTATAGTGTCCCTGGGTTTAATCCCCAGTGGTGGTGGTGATGGAAAGCATCTGAAAAACAAAAACAAATTATATAAACTTGTCTTTTGTCTAAGATGTAGGATGGGATAAAAATATCCCAGTCTTCTGAGAAAATTAACAAACTTTAAAAATGTAAGTAAAATCAGGGCTGGGGTTGTGGTTCAGTAGTAGAACGCTCATCTAGCAAGTGTGAGGCTCTGGGTTCGATCCTCAGCTCCACATACAAATAAATAAATCAAATAAAGGTATTATGTCCAACTACAACTAAAAATTTTTTAAAAATGTAAATAAAATCAGTTACCATGATAAATCACTGATAACAATTTCCACAAACCCAATATAATGACAGATTTAATCACAGAATAAATATTCACCTATAGAATCTTCTCAGTTTCTGACTTATAAAAACATAATACCTTGTTGGTAAATAATAGGCTTTGATAGTTTTAGTATTTAAAATTTGTTACATAAATACTGCAAATAAACATTGAAACGCAGAAGATTCTAGAGCTTGTGTATATGTGGTGCTGGGGA